ATCCATCCACATCCATCCATCCACATCCATCCATCCACATCCATCCATCCATCCACTTCCATCCATCCATCCACTTCCATCCACTTCCGTCCATCCATCCATCCATCCACTTCCATCCATCCCTCCATCCACTTCCATCCATCCCTCCATCCATCCATCCACTTCCATCCATCCCTCCATCCACTTCCATACACATCCATCCATCCACATCCATCCATCCATCCATATTGCTTGCCAAAAAAAAGTTTATATAGTCGATACTGACATCTTTTATCATATTGCTGTTCCTGACATTTTATAAAAGCAACAAGCCACTTGAAATACGTGTTAAAGTGCTTTAACCGTGGTTAAGTGGTTTCCTTACGGACAGGCTGGAGTAAAATCCCTGTAACGTACATTCTCTCATCGAAATGATTTAAAAACAGCTGAAGTTGAAGATGCCTGTTCAGAAATCAGTTTAGCTATCTGAGAGCTTTATAAAACACACAAAATACACTGCGTACCTTTAATTAGATGTTCTGTTGTACTGCTGGTTTAAACAATGCAGCCCACACACTGTGTGTGTGTGTGTGTGTGTGTGTGTGTGTGTGTGAGTGTGTGTGAAACCTGCTCTTATCCACATCCAAATGCAGCAGCTTGAAATTAGTATTATCTCATTTTAAATGGTTGCATTCTTATAATTATCTCTCATTTCAATACCTGCACACCTGTTTCAACACCTGTGTGTAATCATTGCGTTTACTTGTATGTCATACACACACAGATCAGATGTTGTTGACGAGGCTTTTAAATCACTTTCCCTTTCTTTATTCACCGTTCGTCGCTCTCGCTATTGCTTTTCACAGTCTTTCCTTTGCTTGCTCGCTGTCCCTCTCGGTCTTTACTTGATAAGGTTGCTGTGTGCTTTGCAGAGTTTGCATAGACACAACAAATTCCCATGTCCTGGACTGCAAACATACGTGTTTGTTGTTCACACAGGCTCTCGTGGCCCACCCATGCTGATAACCGGAGGGTTTCTGCAGGAACACACCCAGCACGGGCCGAGAGCGTCCGGTAGGACCCTTAACTGCACACAGTCGATACGTTTCAGACGTCTTTGCTCTCTCCAGAGGAACCTTCTTTCCAATCAGACACATCAAGAAGACGAGTTTAAGAAAACCAGCACTGAGATAATGGAATACTGTGGGAGACGTATTGATGTTATTGATGAGCCAAAGTGTGTGGGGGTGCTGTGTGTGAGTGTGTGTGTGTGTGTGTGGTGGGGGTAAGCCAGAGGAAAAGGTTTTGCTCCGAGGTTGCTCTCTTAAAGCAGGATAATCTCAGTTTTATGAAGTATATCAAATTTGTCTCAAATGTTTCTCCTGAAATTCCTAATGGGAAAAGTTCTTTAATATATTCAAATTAATCAAAACCTATAATATGAATAAATATAATTTGTCATATATATATATATATATACATATATTTATTTATATATAAATGCTGTTCTTTTGACCTTTCTATTCATCATAAAATCCTAAAAATAAAATGTATTAGGGTTTCCACACAAATAGGAAGCAGCACAACTGTTTTCAACATTGATTTACAACACTGATGATAATAATAAGAAACATTTCATCAAATCATCATATTAGAGTGATTTCTGAAGGATCATGTGACACTGAAGACTGGAGTAATGATGCTGAAAATTTTTGCTTTGATCACAGGAATTTTTTTTTCCTTAAATATATTCATTGAAATTGAACAGTTAATTTAAATTGTAATAATATATCACAAAATTACTGTTTTACTGTGTTTTTGATCAAATAAATGCAGCATTAAGCAGAAATATAAGAAAAACATAACAGATTTTTCTATCTTGGAAAAGTGGATATTATTTGTGATATTATTGACATTTCTAAATAATTCTCCATTTGCTCTCCTTGAATAACAATTGAGATAGATCTTTTCTGTGGGAATGACTACACACTAACGGACAATAAAGATGAAAATAACCCTCATCCATCTCACCCTGAGGTCACACTCGGGCTAACCCAGGGTCAGTGTTTGGCCATGATGTGTACGGCACCTGTCCCGAGGTTACGCATACACACATTCTCTCGCTTTCTCTGAGTCTCTAGCCCTCCCTCCAACACAGGAAACAGATCTGAACAACAGGAAATATCTGCTTATTGCCATGACATCTCCAGATAAGCCCAACGGTCCCTCATTGTGTGTGTGTGTGTGTGTGTGTGGGCCAGACAATGGCAGAATGAGAGACCCTGAAGGTCTACAAGTCTGCGTTATCGACTGATCGTCTCTCCCACTGGGACTGACTGAGGAAACAGAAAGTGTTCTCCTTCGCTTATGTCTGTCCTTATATGGTTGTTACTCTCCTCCTGTAAGTTTATGCATCTTTCTTAAACCGTTATAGATGTTGAAGTAATATGGTGAATCTGATTGGATGATTCACGGTTGAAGCTGATATTCGCCTTTGAGTTCTCATCATGTTCTCACTCACCCGTTTTGAAGATCTCGTAGCGGATGGAGAAGCCAGCGCCGTGAGTCTCGTAGTCAGACACAAACTTGATGAAGAGCTGGTTCCCAGAGGAGATCAAGGGAGAGGGAGCGATCTTCCCACAATACTTCCCGACCAGCTGCCCGCTCTCATCCACCCCATCCCTCACTTCCACATAGTCATATCTGCACAGAGAGACACACACACACACACACAAAGATTTGGTCATCTAAACATCTAAAAAAAAAATTAGCATGTCAGTTCATTCAGACAGTTTCTTTCAATGAACCGGTTATGGATATTTTCACTTACATTTATAATATCATAAAGATTTAAAAAAAAAAAAAACTTTAAAAAACAATGACTAGGTAGTGAACACCTGCATGTGCTAAATCTGTAAATAAAGTAGAACCATCATTATGTCTATGGGATGTCTATGGGATTAAAACCCAACATGTATGTGTGTGTGTTAGAGAGAGAGAGAGAGAGAGAGGGTTTGTGTGCAAGTGTGTGTGTGTGTTCGTGTGAGAGAGAGAGAGTGTGTGAGAGAGATAGAGAGAGTGTTTTTGTGCAAGTGTGTACGTGTTTATGTGTGTGCAAGTGTGAGAGAGAGTGTGTGTGTGTGTGTGTGTGTGTGTGTGCGTGTGTGTGCGAGTGTGTGTGAGAGAGAGAGAGAGAAAGAGAGAGAGAGAGAGAGAGAGAGAGAGAGAGAGAGAGAGAGAGAGAGTGTGTGTGTGTGTGTGCGCGCGCGTGCGACTGTGAGAGAGAAAGAGTGTGTGTGTGTGTGTGTTTAGCAATTTGCACACACTCTTTCTCTCTCTCTCTCTCACACACACACACACACACACACACACACACACACACACACATACACGTTCCACTTGTCCTCAAAATAGAATTTCAACCCTAAAGCTATTGGTTTGTGCCGCCACATAATTGAGTCGGCGACAGTTTGGAAGACTGTTGCACAAATGGCAGCACGTGCACACACAAAAACCCACGTGCACACACACACACACACACACACACACACACACACACACACACACACGGTAATATTGTGTCTGTAATACAAGACGAGAGAAGGTGGGTGGTCCTGCCTCAGCTAGCGAGCGAGTGAGATGGGATGAAAAACTAAAGCTGATGTGAATTCTCCCTTGTTTTAAGTCTGTTTGTACAATAAACTCCACATACTGATATAATAATGCTGAATTTCAATTGGGGGTGTGCTCAGCGTGGAATATGATTGACAGCAGGGTCTTGTTTCCATGGCGTTTAATCACCCCTGACACCCGTAACCGCGGGATAGGCGGGAGGAAACGAGAGCAAAGCATCATGGGGAGTAGAACGGTCTATTTCTTTTCAAAGAATTGCAGTTTGATTTCTCAAAGCATATTAGGGATGCAGAACTAAAATCTCGCCCGTGCATAATATCATTTCATTATTTTGAGAGGAGTATTAAAATATATATACATATATATTATGCATGTGCATAATAGCCTAGATATGCAACAGAAGATCTCCCTGCTCAAGAAAATGGTTTATTCCACCTGCCACACATTACAGGAGGAAATGTGTGAAAATTTAACGAAGGTATCGCAGACAGAATGTGTGTCTGTGTGTCAGTGTGTCCAGGGGGGTTACGGGAGGCGTTAAAATTGGGGCGCGCCTCATACTGTGCATTCAGTGATATAAAGGTTGGTTTGTTTCACACCGTTGGGGGTGCCGATACCGTATGTGTGCGAGTGGAAGGGACGGAATATGAGAAGCATGCCGCTCTCTGAAATTGGGTCCCCTGAGGGGGCGGTAATGTAGAGATGACTTCACCCGTGTCTCTCCGCTTGGCTGGCCTGATGGAAGAGGCCTAGCACTCCATCAGTCACAGCAGAAGAGAGTGCCACGGATCTAATGCTACATATACAATGAAAACACATTTAAACTGGCAGGTAAGGAAAGTCTCTGCGAAAATACCACACAACCATAACCTTTTTTTGCTCACCAGGCGAAGTTTCTAGCTACTCAGCATTTCACTGGACACAATTTTGACATCGATGGGGAAAAACTGCCATATAGATATTTTTAATATTATCTCATATTTTGGCAGCAGGAATATTAGGCTGCTGTCACTTTAAGACATGATGCACGGATCCATTATACTGTTACACGTGTGTTTTCTTTCTCAACTGTTTACTTTCGCTGAAAACATAACTGATTGTGTTTACGTGAATATTCATCAATATTTTGTGTGTATTTTCACTGTTAAAGCGCAATAAGCAGTGAAAAAGAACTCAATTTAGTTCTGAGAGATGGCTTTATGTGTGTGTACTCTGGGTGTGAGCAAAAAATCTGCGGGAATGAGTGAAATTATGCACAATACATGCAATCCCACAACGAAACACAAGCCCTGTAACAACAACAATATTCATCCGGAGCAAATCAATCGAGTGAGTGAGGAGAGGCGGGGTTGTGTGTAACTCGCTGTCGGAGAGATGAGAGAGAGAGAAAGAACAGCTGGAATCGTGTATCTATTCTGATATTTCAGTATCGATAGTTTGTTATTTCAGATGCCTTTTTAAAAGACTACAATTTAAAACTGTATATATTATATATAAAATAGGGCTGTCAAATGATTAATCACAATTAATCACATCCAAAATAAAAGTTTGTGTTTACATAATATATGTGGGTGCACTGTATATAATTATTTTGTATATATATAAATACACACACATGCATGAATATTTAAGAAAAAAATATTATTTACATATAAAATATTTATATTTATGTATAATATAAATTATATATAAATCTATATACAGTATATACATGCAAATATTTCTTAAATATATACAAGCATGTGTGTGTATTTATATATATATAAAATAATTATACACAGTGCACCCACATATATTATATAAACAAAAACTTTTATTTTGGATGTGATTAATCACGATTAATCATTTGACAGCCCTAATATAAAATTCAACCCGCCAAAGTGGCTAGTAGAAGTGACTGTGTTACACACCACTGCTGAAATTAAGGTTGGCGGGTGTAAATGTCAACCCCTGCACACAAGAAACTATACGTTCATGCAAATAGGGAATGACGTAACTCGTATAAAAATGCAATTTATTTAAAAATAGGACAATACAGTGAGGACCCATATGGACCCTCATGAGTGTTTGTGTAGGTATGTAAAAAAAAGCAAAAAAAAAAAAAATTGTCAAGTCATCCTCATTTATATAGCGCTTTTAACAATGTAGATCGTTTCGAAGCAGCTTTACAGAGATAAACGTAATATAATTTAAGGTAACACAGATTGGTTTGGTTTTATAGCGGTTCTTGAATAATGTTATTTTCCAGCTAAAGTTAGACCAACATATCGACACAATAAAAACAAACACATGTGCAAACAAACCTTTTCAGAAAGCTTTCCCCAAGCACATGACGTTTGCAGAGCTATGACCTCACTCTGTTTGGCTCGGCCGCTCGGGTCTACTGTTTTGTGCTTGGTGCCATTTTTTTGCACGCTGTTCTGTTTTTCAGCCCCTGCCCTCTTCCTCTTAAGGCCAGCTGTGGAAACAGCGCTTCTGCACCCACACAAACAAGCTCTGTTCTCCTCTTCTCCTTTATCAGTCTGAGCAGGAGAACTCAGTCTACCTTCAGCCCCATCATGGCACATTTACACAGGAATCCAGCCAATGCACTTACGCTTTTACTCACTGCCTTTATTACGGCACAGTGGCCATAAAAAGCAGTCATTAACTCTCCCAAAGACTTATTTTGTTTTCTCTCATCACTCTGGCTGGACTAGGATTCTGTTGAGCCTGACTTACTAAAGTTAGGTCAAATGATTCAGAGCTCTGAGTAAATTATATGAGAAGACGAAGAGAAGGAAAGCTTAGAGTGATGACCGTCAACATCATTATTTTAATGCGGATGTAAACCCCTGTATTCAAGTCTAAACATGTTCCTGTTCCAAATGTCCTCAAACAAACATAGACCAACCCGATCACTAAAACCAGAAGGCAATCGTTGTTTGGTAAGCATCTTGTCCAAGGCTCTAGCCCAATCTCTAACCAAAGAATCTGCCTGGTGGATTGGACTACTTTCTACTACTTTAGTTGTTGGTAACAGAACAAAATTTCAAACAATTCTGATCTGAGAATTAGGTTTAGGTTATGAGCTTGATTTTTCGCCCCTGTCTCAAATTATGCATTTCGTTGTACCTGTGCTTGTGAAGTTGTGACGACTATGAGAATGAGTAAGGTGTCAAGGTTTCACTTCACTCTTTTAACAGCCACCATAAGTCTACACAAATCCGCACTGCCCAACAGCCTACATGGAAATATGTTATCAAAGTGTGGATTTAAAAGAGTACTGAAAGGACATTTAGGACGGGTTGGGTTAGGACTAGAATTTGGGGCAACAATTTTATTAACCAAACACTTCCTCTCTGATTTTAGAGGTAGATTATTTCTAGGCTGTTCCAGCTCCAACAAGTATATTGATTCAGGAGCATGTCCTACTTGACTACATCGCATCACGATTGGAAGAACATGCAAGTCTGCACACTAAGTGGCTGTAAAATCCCAACCAAGAGAGTAAAAAGAGAGTACAGTTTGTAGTGAATCAGAGACTGGTCTGTATACAGATGCTTTGGTGCAGTAATGTGTGAAGATCTTTGACAGTAGCGTCTCAGCTCAAGATGGAGAGCATCAGTCTTCTTCAGATCTGTCTGTTATGCTCTCTCCTTCCTCTTTCAGTCTGTAATTTCTCCCTGCTCTTATGGCTAGCTGAATGATACCTCTACCTTGAGACACACACACAAGCACGCACACATTTTCTCTCTACTTTAAATCCCACCCAGGTAAACTCAAGCGTGACCAGACCTTTGAAAAATTGATGCAAGCGTTATCCTGCAAAAGATTTGGGGGTTTAAGAAGTCGTTTCCTCCTCAGTGGTGCCGTGAGAATCAAAGGCGTGTTATCGGATTTCAGCAAGTCTGTCACAGAATCACAGTCACCGTTGCACAACCGTAGTCACAGCAGAGGTAACATTACACTGTACTACAAGCTCTCCTCAAGACATCCTTTTCGCTATGGCTTTGAAAAACAGCAGGCTTCTCCTGCCGGCCTGCATGTAAAGTCTTAGCACCTTCAGAAATCTTGTTTATTGCATTCTC